ATCCATCATCCGCTAGGGACTTAGTCCCTTGGGCATTATCTATTGCCCTTGCGACACCAAACACTACCTCCTGGTGTTCTAGAGTGTTTGGGTGTCCCAATGATGACTTCTTTGACAATGAACATTCCCTTTTATGACATTGACTTACTATATTATAACATAAGCAATTTATTCTCCATAAGGGTATATTTAACTTCCTTATGCTATTAAGAAATCTTTGGGTAGTTACCTTCTACCAATTTAACTAATTATTTTGCACAGTTTGCTTAGTTGCCTCATAGTTGTCAAGTCTTACAACTCATTGCTAATGCTTCCACACCTCCATCATTATTTGGGTCACCACACTCCAACCGCATGCCTTCCAACTTAGACTATGTCATTCCCATTTCTATTAGGATTCCTCTAGGAAGGGGTTCCAACTTGACCTCTAGGCATCATGCCTTTGGCACATTCAATATCTCCACACCATCGGCTCCACAAACCCATAAGGTCCCATTTTGAAGTGTTAGCTTGCTGGAATACAACTTCTTGTATTCGTGTCTTACTCACAAAGACCATCTTTGCAAGTGTTACTCCAACACTTGATTTTGTTCTCTAAGGGCAACTTTTGCCCCTTATGACTACTTGTTTATGTGATAAGAATACCAACTCATCCTCTAAGTACACCCTCAACTCCTTGGGTTGTTCCAGCATTTATTTAAGATAGCCCCAACTACCATTTCAAGGACTTGTGTCTTTTTTTGTATTTGACCTCCTACGGTCATTAATTTTGGTCTCACATTCATGAGCACCAACCTCAACTATATAAAGATAATCTTGTGACTTCTTTATTGCTTTGGAGTCTCTATTTTTCCCGTGATCCCAACTATAGTTGTTTACCACAACTACATTAGGCAGTTTGCTAAGTCAAACACTCATCTTAATCACATCCTCAACTCTTTGAGGAAACCTTTATATTGTTCCCAAGATCCCAAAGTTATTCCATTATTGGCCCTTTTCTATCCACCACCTCGTCTATAAGTTCATACATAGACTGTAGTGGAGAGCCATGTCTTCCCAACTTGCTACTCCCCAAAGATAGGCCCACTCCTAAGACCTTATGATGCCAACACCATGGGTGATTACTTGAGCACCAATAAAAGTTGGACTAAGGAACAATTCCGATACCAAATTGTAAACAACTAATTTTTCCATTCTACTTTAGTTACTTAACCACACCTCCAACCACTTGTCGGAGTCTCACTCACAACCTCCATAAGTCCTATTCCAGACTTGGGCTTGCTAGCCCCGAGAATGGCATCCTTGCCACTCAAACTTTGCACTTGGCCCAAGTGCTCCACGTGTCCGATCCCATGACCGACATCCCAAGGTACCACTGACATATCAACTTGTTACGCTAAAGCCATGCCCCTTCACGTTGGTCACACCAATGGTCTAACACCATCTGCATCACAATTCTGTCTCTCAAAAACTGGGTTATCCATCCATGAGTGATCATCCTAGATCCACTCTTTATCATCCTTAGGATGCCTGCAGGCATGGGGAATAACCTTCCCCAATATCCCCTTTCTGGTCCCCACCAAGTCCCTTTTTGTCCATGGCTGAGTTCACCAACATTGCCACTGGATCAAGGTCCACAGGCCCGTCCACTAAGTCCCATGATCCTCTAAGACTTCCTCCTTATATGATTGTATCCTTGGTCTCTACCCCAGAGGATTTTTCCTCTTCCTTTTCACAGTCTGGGACTTTAAGACAACATTTCGAAACACCATGGCCTTATGCGAGCCTCGTGGGTACTCTCCCCACCTTCCGCTTTTGGGTGCTCTAGCCATGGGCTTAGAGAGCGAGGTTCTGTTGAGCCATGCCAGGTATCCAAGTAGGTAGTGCCACCCACACTTGGACTGGGAGCATCGACCATTCGATCTTCCGAGGGAACTAGAGTTGGCTCTTGAACACTTCACTAAGTTACCCCACTTGTTAGTCCATATTCACTTTAGCCTTGGACTTCCCAGTGGTCATCTCATCACCCAATAGCTAGGTATGGCCTTCCTGGGCCAAATTGGCCTTTCCTGGCCAAACTAGCTCTACTAGGGTCCAACCCCCACATTGTCCCTACTATACTTTTGGAACCCTCTGCAGCAGTAGTAGCAGCACCCCCCCCGCTTCCCGGGGGATGATCGCTTTGGGCTTTCACCTAATAGCCTATATTAGTATTCAGACTTGGACTCGGTCTTAGTCCTAGTTTCGGACTCGGACTCGGTCAGTCTTGGTCTTAGTTCCATCTCGGACTCCATCTCGAACTCCATCTCGGGTCCATCTCGGACTCCATCTCAAACTCCCTCTCGAGTCCATCTCGGACTCCATCTTGGACTCCACTCGGGTCCATCTCGAACTCCATCTCGGACTCCATCTTGGGTCCATCTCCAGTCCATTTTAGACTCCATCTCAGACTCCATCTTGGGTCCATATCGGACTCCATCTCGGGTCCATCTCAGACTCCATCTCGGGTCCATCTCGGACTCCATCTCGGGTCCATCTCGAACTCCATCTTGGGTCCATATCGGACTCCATCTCAGGTCCATCTCAGACTCCATCTCAGGTCCATCTCAGACTCCATCTTGGGTCCATCTCGGACTCCTCCACATATCATGTGTTGGTCCTCTTGTGTCCTTCTTGCTTCGTGCTTGTTCCTCAAGCACTTCATTGGGAGTTCCACTCCCGCTCTCAACCTTTCAAGTCGGGGCTTTTAGTCCAAACGTGTTACGCTCGTTTGGCTTTCGCTTCAGCCACTACCATGTGGCATTGGCTCCACTTTGGGGCCTAGGGATTTTGTATCTCACATATTGGCAAAAAGATCCATGTACCAGAATCTCACAATAAAAAGAAGTATTGAGAGCTGAAGATGGGGAGGGTGGCCTTTGTCATCAAACGACATAAAGGTTGGTAAAGCTTTAAAACTATTCCAAGATTTTGGGGCAAAAAGAAGGTGAGCAAAGAATCATCACATGCAACCCAAGGGAGGAGAGTTGAATGTGAGGAGGGAGAAGTGAGTAAGTTGCCACCTCCATATAGGCTCATTCACGACTATGATGGAGTATACTTTCTATAGCCTAGGTGGTTTTTAAATGGAGGTATGGATCTTGTTGATCCTTCAATACTCTAGATATGTGAAAGATCACAATTTTGTAGGAGATATTGGCAAAACATGAAATCCTTTATTAGGATCTCACAATAATTCACCCATGTCCCACTTAGGCAATTAGATTTCGAACTAGGCCACAGGTTGATCAAATCAGCCCTACTCACTTAGATTATGCCTTTGGGGATGGACGAAAAGTCAAGATTGGGAAGATTTTTATCTAGAGAAAGTATTAAGAGATTCTTGTAATGGATTTATGTAATACGTGTAAAAGATTTTGAGATCTCTAAAATCTTGGAGCTAAAGAATAAGAGCAAAATGAGGGTTAAGCCAAATCTCACCCCACCCCTTTGGAGATTTTGTGTTTAACAACATTTTTTTGAGTGTGCTCTATGTTACAAGCACCTTGAGTGTGACTTAGATTGGAATGTGCTCACATTCATTTTGTGGATGTGGGTTCTTTTGTTTGAATAGCAAGTGTGCTTTTATCAATGTTTTAAGTACTTTGGAGTGAGTGTGTTTGGAGATCTTGTGTCAGTATCTGTAGTGCACTATGAGGCTAGGTCACATGCATGCACTTGTTTCATATTGTGAGGTTGCTACTAGCAAGGAGAAAGCAACTAAGTTATGGCAGTGAGAGATCCTGGAAGCATTGCTAAGTTGATATATCAGATATTCCATGCCAAGTGGCTTGGAGTGACAAATTTATTCATTGCACCCTTCTAGGGCAGTACACATTTCTTGTCAAGAACACCATGCTAAAGAAGGTGGTGTGCTATAGAGTAGAGAAATGGTGTGCAATTTAATCACCAAGCGGCAAGAACATGTTCAGCTATCTTGAATGCATAGGATGAATGAGTCTCCTCAAATGGCATGGGCCATTGCCATGGGCATGAAGCAAGGAATGGATATTTCTGTGTGCAATCACACGTGGACCAATAACATTATGACACGTGCTCTCTCTCTCACACACACGAACACTCGAGTCTCGGAAAATTTGCCGCGACGCAAGCCCGGATCTAGTCAAGCGACAAACGTAAGTTTTGTGTGAAACAAGGCATCTCTCTCCTTGTGTTTTTTCCTCTTTCTGGAACTCGTCTTCTCGCGGAAAGTTCATTGGCACGCCAGAGACTAACGGGATTCTAAATCATTCCAACTTCTCTTCTCTCAAAAACTTTTTTCTCAAACGATTCGCCTTTGTATTGCTGCTGAGTCATAGCTATGCCGGAATTGCCGGCTAGTTTTACAATCTTCGCTGCCGGATCAACGAAAGCGAACTTTCCAAGCACCGCCAGCAACAATCTTCCCTCGAGAGCACAAAAAAGGGAAAAGAACGAGCTCTACTCTACAATACCTAGAACCTTGCGCCGGGTATGAAATTGAAGAAATGTAGCACCAATTGCTCCGCCATGGGCGCCTCGAACGCTTGCTTTTGACCCGGAGCTCCCTCCTGTCGCGGACGAGCGCATTGGGCGCTCTCTTCGTGGCCAACGCCCACCACCGGTGCCTCCGCAAACACGATTGGGGCAGCGGCGTTGCCCACCGCGGCCGCAGCTGCTACCGTCGCCAGCGATCGCGATTTCTTCCCTGCCATGGAGGATCTAAAGCGCGGAGAAGAATGGAGAGAGGAAAACAAAAATCTTGCCCTTGCGTTTTCTTCCGGGCCCCTTCGTTTTAATACTGGCGGTGAAGAAAAGGAGGGTTTCTGACGTGTCCAAGTAGTGTCCACTAGATGAAATGACGTGTCTAACTCTAGGTTTAGGGCTTCTCGAGAATATGCGTTGCGTGGGGTAGAATATTCTAGCTGTGTTAGCCAGCTTGTATGAGTGGTGTTTAAGCTAGTGAAGATTTTTCGCCATCATGTGGCATTACGTCAAGTTGCTCGCCTTGTTTAATCCCTGATTTTCGCGTAATGCGAGTGCTTAATATAAATCTGGGCCAGCAGCCAAGCAAAGTCTCGCGGCAAGAGACGCTTCGTTCGTTCTTTGCTTCTTCTTCCTAGCTTTGCTTCTGGCGATGGAGCTTGCGAAGTTCCTTCTGGTCTTTGGAGCCTGCTGCCTCGCCGCTGTGATCCAGCTCTTGCCAGGAGCGCAGGCCGCCCAAGTAGTTTGCACTGCAAACCCGAACCGCTGGTGCTTCGATCTCGTCCTTCCCTGTCCCAGGAGGTGTCCCAATCAATGCAGCGTCAATTGCAACGCTTGCTCCACTAGCTGCGGTAAGTATCAAAGTTTCCAGCTTCCTTGGAACGAAAAAAAGAGAGGGAAGTACCTTCACGAAGAATCGACTTTGATCGTGGCTTCTTCTTCTTTGCGCCTTGTCTCGCAGATGTCCGGAGGTGTAACAGGCCAGGATCGGTCTGCCAGGACCCCCGCTTCGTCGGTGGCGATGGAAGCGTCTTCTACTTCCACGGCAAGAGGGACCAGGACTTCTGCATTGTCTCCGACGCCAATCTCCACGTAAACGCCCACTTCATCGGAAAGTCCAAGAGCGGCCCGGGCCTCAAGCGCGACTTTACGTGGGTGCAGTCGCTGGGAATCCTGTTCGGAGACCACCAGCTCAAGCTCGGTGCCAAGAACGTTGCAACTTGGGACGACTCCGTCGATCAACTCGAGCTCCAGCTCGATGGCAGCGCGGTAACTCTCCCCTCTGGCGAAGGGGCCGTCTGGAGTGAGCCACTCGTCGGGCTACGAATCGAAAGGCTCAACCTGTACAACGACATCTCCGTCCAAGTTAGAGACAGCTTCACACTCAAGGCTAGAGTTGTACCTGTGACTCAAGCCGACTCCAAAGTTCACCACTACGGGATCACCCCGGACAACTGCTTTGCACATCTCGATGTCAGCTTCGAGTTCCACAAGCTGTCCGGCAATGTTGCTGGAGTTCTCGGGCAGACTTACGCGCCCGGTTACAAGAGCCGAGTGAACTCCAGCTTGCCAATGCCGATCATGGGAGGCTACAAGGAGTATCTCACGTCTGGCCTCCTGAATGCCGACTGCCCTGTGTCGAGGTTCGGCGTGGCTGCAGTTGAAAGCTCGAAGTTTTCCTTCCCTGCAGTGACCTGTGGGACGGACAACAAAGGCTTCTCGTGCCGTCGCTAGATCCGTGTTCCACGTTGTTACTGCTTGGACTGCTTCGGCTGTATACACATTCTATTAGCTCCAAAATAAAGCAAAGTGAAATACAAGTACCTTTAGTCTTTGGAAATATCATGGAGTGCCAGCATTGCGTTGATGAGCTTCCGGCGGCTTGTCCTGTATCTCTCCAGCAGGACCGCAAAGCTTTCACGAGCTTCGGAGAAGACTGCGTCGTCGTACAGGGCCCTCTCCACAAAATTGGCTCTGGCTGTCACGTACATCTCCGGGAACCTGTGTTCTTTTATGGTAGAGTTGATCGCAAGTTTGAAGTCCGTTTCAAGACTTTGTGTCCCCGGGAGATGACCCAGCCAACTCAAGCCAGCAGCGCACTCTTCTCCGTTGATAGCTCTTTCAGACTCTTCGGCATGCGAAGCTATCTTCTTAATCAGTTCCTTGAACGTCGCATGCGACTTGTTGTATGTGGCGGGCATAGCGACTGAGCACGCCTTTCGAAGCTCTTTTACAGCATTGTCCGCCATTGACCACACTGTGAAATGTAAAAGTGTTTTACACAACCTGCTGTCCCGACTTTGAGGTGGATTCTCTCGAAGAAACCATAAATGCAAAGCGATGTGAATGAATCCTTGCCATCTGTATGTTGCAAAGTCAGGAGGAAAGATTTCATGAAAAAGTTCAACCAGACTCACTCAAATGGAAGCTCCACTTCAACGCCAAAAGTGAGATGCAAGGAGAACTTCGATGTCGTCGTAGGACAATTCCCCGTCGTCGTCTCCAAAGTGCATTGCTTTCTCTTTCCACGACCTGGACTTTTAGAGGTGTTGCCATCTTCTGAAGTGCTAGCTCGATGAGCGAAACCTCTCGGAATGTATAACACGCTTCCTTCCGTCAACAGTGTGTCTGCTAGCTCACGACTCTGGACCTCAGCCTCAGGCACAAGTCTAGGCGCATATAGTCGAGGAAGCACGACGGTAGCAGCCGGATTAATGCTCCACCTCTTTTTTCCAGCAAGTTGCACGACAAAGACGCAGTGATCATCGTAGTGACGACCCAGGCCTTGAGCATTTGACGGCGTCAAGTAAAGATTTGCTCCAATGCTGGCTTGACCAAGTTGGAAGCCCAAGCTCTGAGCAAGTTCCGCAACCACCTTTGAGCGAAACTCAATACCTCTCACAGCCACAGTGTAACCGAGCTCGAAGGCCTTGATACAGTCTTCCACACGGACAACCTGTCCTTCACCGTTTCTAGAAAAGTAGTGCTGCTCCACGCAATCACCAGTGGTGCATTTGACGAGTCGAATGTCCTGCTGATAAATCAAAGGCCTTCCCAGGTCGTCATGTATCTCTTTGAAAAGCTGGCAAGGATCGAGTTCGTCGCTGCTGGCCGGAGGACATGAAATGGAAGCTCCAACCAAAGTTCTGAGAAGCTCTGACGAATCCTGAGCTGGAAAATCCTTCCGAAGAGCCTCGAATACTCTGCCTGTTCCATTTGTAATCACTGCCGGAGACCTCTCCCAGCCTTTCTCAAAGAACTCCTGACTGTTCTCCAGAAAAGTATGCCTGCCGAGGTTTTTGGAAACTGGCAACTCAAGCTCCAATCCGAGCAATGCGAGAAGCTTCGCAAGGAGATGTCTCGTAGACGTCGATCCACCATCTCCTTCCAAGATATCCTTCCAGACTCTTCTCAGCTTCGAATACGACGTGCAAGCTATCTCTCTTGGAACCCGTTGGATGGTCACCTCGTAGTGTTCCTGGAGCAAAGAGTCGGCTACACGAAGAGCATCTCCAAAGTGTTCTTCGATATCACAGTTCCATGCCGAGCTCAAAGAATCTGCAAGGGAAATGAACAAGCTCCTGTCAAGACGACGGAATAAAAACCTCTTCCATCGATCTAAAGCGGAAGCATTGAAACGAGAAATCTTACAAGAAGTAGTCCATCACACCGCATTCTTGCAATGCTCGTCGAGCAGCCGCAGTGATTCCCAGATCGGCGACGGCATCGATCGCGGCACCAGACACACTGGAATCGTCGCTAGCAATGAGCGGAACAAGCGAGCTGAGCAGCTCGACGCAGCTCGCAACGTCGCGATTTAGGCTCTCGGATTGCAGCGCCAGCAAACCGATAATCTCGGCAGATTTCACCGCTCCTGTCGCATTCCTGGAGCGATCACTTGCATTCCCATCCACCAGAAAGAAAGCTCACCTCGATCGAAGAAGCTCCTTGAGAACGCCCAGGAGGCAACGCTCCGCCATCAAGAACCCTAAAGTATATTCGATAATTGATCCACAATAAAGAACAAAGCTGTAGGGTTTATGCGGGAGGAGAATGCTGTGGCGAGCGCAGGGGCTGCGGGTAAGCGCGCTAGCAGTTTTTGAGAATTTCTGTGAGAATGTAGCTAGATGTGCTATGAAATATCTGCCATTTTCTCCAGATTGACAGGAAGAACTCGAGCTTCTGGTTGCGCTTGTGTCGCGATTTTCATCCGCAAGGTCGAGAGGAAACGCGTGAGTTTCCACAGAACAGGGAGCTACCACCTCTGGTACCGCCGAAGAAGAAGCCTTACTACAAGCCCCTTCCTCTGGTGATATGGGAGCACAGGCGAGACAAGAGGCTTGGTGTGAGGCGGCTGTGGAAAGCCCCGCTCAATGGAATGCTTGTGGAGGATCTCATACCTCTCGCTCACGACGTTCTCAAGGAGTATGCTGTGCTCGAGGAAGGTGTCAAGAGGCTCATGAAATCCGTCACAGTGAAAGCTTGCACGTAAGTTTCTCATCTTCTTCGGTTTTTTTTTTTTTTTTTCGTTTCCTCTTGTTCTATTGCTTTTGATTCTTCTCTTGTCCTCTTTTTTTTTCCTAGCTTTGGAATGGTTGTCATGTCTTCTCCCTCATCATTCTATTTATCAGCTTTCGTGTTCTAATGGGAATTCCTGGCGTTACAGTTGCTGTATGGAGATCTACGTAGGAAAAGTCGGTCACAAGCTCCCGACTTGCAGAGGCACGAGCAACCGAGCAATCTATGGACAGCACCGGTGGATCAGGGGGTACGTTGAAGACGTGATCATCCCGCTAGAGGCTTACCACGTCTACAACAAGATAGGACGCTCTATCAAGCACAGCCAAAGGTACACAGTCCCGAGAGTAGGCGCAATTCACGAGCTTTGCATGCAGGCGGGTGTTGACGATCCCAGGTACCCGATGATCAGGTGGGCTCGAAGGTCTGGAAGACAGGTCGGGGACGGCCAGGCCCAGATCCCTCTCACTCGCTTCCGGAACAAGATCATCCCGGGCTACTCGTCGTCGAGTGACACCAGCGACGATGACGACGACGAGAGCGGGTCTCCAGTGGTGGAATCCAAGACCGAAGCGGACGAAGCCAGGGAAGAACCCGGAGCAATCCAGGAAAACAAAGTTCCTCAGATCGAAGAACTTACAGGAATCCAGGAAAGCGAAGCTCCTCGGGTCAAAGAACTCACAGGAATGCAGGAAAGCAAAGCTCCTCAGATCAAAGAACTTACAGGAATCCAGGAAAGCGAAGCTCCTCCGATCGAAGACACTGGAGGCTGCCAAGCTCCTGGCGAGAAGCTGGAGGAGATGGGGCTGGACGAAGTTCCAAACGAAGAAGAAGAAGACAGCAGGGACAGACCACGCAAATTTGAGCTGAGGCTCGCGGAGGAGGAGCTGGGCGATTTAGAGGTGGAGCAAGGAGAGGGCCGAGAGGACGCCGAGAAGCGAGAGCTCAAGGCGGTGGCGGACAGGACGCTGGTGGCATTCGACAGCGTCCGCCGGGGATTGCAAGCGCTGCTCTACAAGTACAAGGTGTGGGCTTGCGGCTACTGCTCCGAGGTTCACATCGGTGTCAAGCCTCACAAAGTCCTGCTCTGCGGGGGCCTGGGGCGGGCATACAGGGGCGGCGGCCATGCCTGGCAGGAGGCCGCGCTGAGCGACGTCTTCCCCCCAAACTTCGTGTGGCACGTCCCGGCAAATCACCACCCGAGGCTGTCCAAGGAGCTCATCCGGTACTACGGCCAGGCACCCGCGATCGTGGAGATGTGTGTCCAGGCCGGGGCCGAGGCGCCGCCGCGGTGGAAAGCTTACATGAGGATGGATGTGGCGATCCCACTCGAGGAGGAGATGCTATGGACTGCCTAGAGCTTGGGCTTCTTAGTTTTTTAAATGGTTTTTCGCGCGTAAGTTTGAAAAGTTAAGAGCCCTAGCCCTAGTTGTATTTCTTGACCCAGATGGCGTCGTGTGATGCATTCCTGCGCGTCGAGCCGCTGGCGCTGCGGATCAACGCGTCTCTGACCACTCCGGCGACGAATCCGTCACGGTGAGTGCTGCCCAGGGGAGCCGCGATCCAGCTTCCAATTCGCGCGGAGGACAGGAGCAAGGGTTTTGGGCTGTCATCTATCGCCGGCGCAGCAATGGCGTCCTTCCTGATGCATGGAATTCTCCATGCGACGGTCTTCGAGGCCGTGGGAATCACCGATCAGACGCGAGTCACTGGCGCAGCGCCCGAGTTCTTGCGAATGGTAGATTTATTTCTCCATTTTTCCATCGCTTAGAGCTTACTCGTCCATGGATTCGTCTCGCAGATCGTGGAGGGCGTGGAGGACGTGGTCGGCCTCGGGAGAGGCTCAAATCGAATGTATGCCACTGTGGACCTCGACAAGACCCGGGTGGGAAGAACGCGAGTGGTGGATTTCTCGCCAAAAAGCCCGGTGTGGAACGAGTCCTTCCACATCTACTGCGCGCACAACGTTGCTCACACGATCATCAGCGTCAAGGCCGACCTCCGGATCGGAGCCACGGTGCTGGGCCGGGCCAAAGTCTCGGTTCTCAATCTCCTCTCGGGCCAGCCGCTCGAGAACTGGCTGGATCTCTGCCGGGAGGACGGCAAGCCCATCAAGAGCGCCAAGGTCCGCGTACGCCTCCAGTTCTTCGACGTGACCAAGGATCCAAACTTTGGCTATGGCGTCCGCGATGGCTTTCGCTTCCCGGGGGTGCCTTTCACGTACTTCAAGCAGCAGCGCGGATGCAGAGTCACGCTCTACCAGGACGCTCACATGAGTGACAACTTCCTGCCACCGATTTTTCTCGCGGGAGATCAGCTCTATCAGCCGACTCGGTGCTGGGAGGATATGTTCCACGCCATTTCCAACGCCAAGCATTTGATCTACATCACAGGGTGGTCGGTTTTCACCGAGATCACGATGATCCGAGACCCCGCAAGAGCTTCGCTGGGAGCCGAGGCACAGACGCTGGGCCAGCTCCTGCGGAGGAAAGCCGAGGAGGGAGTCCGAGTTTTACTCCTCGTCTGGGATGACCGGACCTCTCTCAGCGTCGTCAAGACGGAGGGCGTGATGAACACTCACGACGAGGAGACTTTCAATTATTTCAAGAACACCAAAGTCAAGTGCCGGCTGTGTCCCAGGAATCCGGACAGTGGTCTCAGCATCGTCCAAGGCTTCCAGATCGGTGCCATGTTTACACACCACCAGAAGACGCTGACGGTTGATGTCCCGGCACCCGGAAGCCATATGAGGGCCATCACAAGTTTCGTGGGTGGTCTGGACCTCGCTGCGGGAAGATATGACAACCAGCATCACTCGGTCTTCCACACGCTCAATGCCGAGCACAAGGACGACTTTCGGCAGACGAGCTTTCCCAGGGCGTGTCGCAAGTTCGGCGGGCCGAGAGAGCCGTGGCACGACATCCACGCGCGGATAGAAGGCCCGGCCGCCTGGGACGTGCTCCACAACTTCGAGCAGCGGTGGAGAAAGCAGGCGAGCAAGGACGCGAACTGGCTGCTCGAGCTGGCGCAGATGAGATCCATCGTTCCCCCGACCGCCCCGGCTTGTCCAGGAGAAGACTGGAACACTTGGAACGTACAACTCTTCCGGTCGATCGACGCGGCGGCGGTGGCTGGCTTCCCGCAGGATCCAGCAGCAGCGGGAGCAATGGGACTGGTGAGCGGCAAGGACAACATCATCGACAGGAGCGTCCACGACGCTTTCATCGCGGCTATCCGGCGAGCCAAGGACTTCATCTACATCGAGAACCAATACTTCCTGGGAAGCTCTTTCGCGTGGGAGTCGCACCAAAACGCTGGAGCTCACCACTTGGTTCCCCGCGAGATAGCGCTCAAGATCGTGAGCAAGATCCAAGCCGGCCAGCCTTTCCGGGTCTACATCGTCATTCCAATGTGGCCCGAGGGAGTCCCCGACAGCCCCCAGGTGATGGCGATCCTGGAGATGATGGTGAGGACCATGGAGATGATGTACAGGACCATCGCTCCGGCACTCTTCGCCAAGCAGCTCGTCGACGTGGATCTGCGAGACTACCTCTCCTTCTACTGCCTGGGGAACCGGGAGAGGCGAGCTCCCGGCGACTACTTGCCTGTGGAGTCTCCCGAGCCGGGCTCCAGCTACAAGCTCGCGCAGGACCATCGCCGCTTCATGGTCTACGTCCACTCCAAGATGATGATCGGTAAGCCAGCCTGCCTCGTTTCAAAGTTTTCTAGCGAACTTACGAGAAGATCTCTTGCGCAGTGGACGATGAATACATCATAGTTGGATCGGCGAATATAAACCAGCGCTCCATGGATGGCGGCCGCGACACGGAGATCGCCATGGGAGCTTACCAGCCATACCACACTTGCCTGGCGCAGCCACCGCGGGGCCAAGTCCACGGCTTTAGAATGTCGCTGTGGTACGAGCACACGGGTGTGCTTGACAACGATTTCCTGGCCCCCAGCAGCGTCCAGTGCATGAGAAAGATGAACAGCATGGGGGACTACTACTGGCAGCTCTACGCGGGGGAGCCCGAGGTGGATCTTCCGGGCCATCTCTTGGCATACCCGATCACTGTGGCGAAAGATGGCACCGTTAGTGAGCTCCCGGGATTCTCCTCCTTTCCAGACATGAAGGGCCGGATACTCGGTGGAAGATCCGACTATTTTCCTGATATTCTCACCTCGTAAGCTCATCTCCGAATCCTTGTAAATCAATGTGAATAACATCAAGGTTTTAACAAAAAAGGTTCTTTTTTGTTAGCAATATTTTCTGCCCTACTTTTTAGCAAAATAGATTTTGGAGATGCCGGGAATTGAACCCGGGTAAAGTGAGCTCTTGCACTGGTTATAACCACTACATCTCCCTTCTTAATGTTTAATTTTTTAATTGCGAGTAAAATTTTATTGCCCTATTTTGTAAAAAGAAATTATGAATAATTTAATGTATTAAACAATAAGCATCAATAATTCACGCACAGGGATGATTAATGGATGGTATTGTGAATTAAAAAATAAAGAACTTTATTGTTCTTGCAATGTCTACAACTCAGGATTCCAAAGGATTTAATATTTTGCAAATTTTGTTTTTCATTTTTCATTGCTAGAATAGCTCACAGACAGAGAGAGGGAGTTCAACCAACCAAGTGTTCTCAGGGATGGGCGCCCTTGAATATCGAAGTGGCACTGCGTCGTCCCAGAGCCCTGGTGCTCATGATCAAGTCGTAAGCAAAACACCCTGTCTAAATTGCGAAAACATTTCGAGATTGCCGAGAAAAACTCATGATAGGTAGTGCTTGTAACTAAGCTACCTCATTTGAGAAACGCATTACCAATGGTAGAATTGAGAATGGAGCTAGGGCCCCTGCATTGTCAAGAGGATGGAGAAAGATTGAAGCCTCGCTAAAACAACGATTGGATGGATTTCTTGCTTAGTTTTGACAGTGTGTGACAAAAAAAATAAAAAATCGAAGGATACATTCATAATTCCATCTTTGAATGGAGGAAATAGACTCCAATTCCCAAACGAACAAAAAACTACAAAAATGAAAACAAGAAAAAGAACGAAAAAGATGGTAGAGATCGCAACCAAACCAACTAAAAACAAATCACTAGTAGCAGGAAAGCTAAATAAGAAATCCATCCAAGAACATGAAGAAGCGGGGTTTTAATCGGCCCCCACCTGTGATTCAATGTAGTTTGCCAACTCCTTTTCCTGCAGCCACGAGCAGTTCAATCGCCTCCTCAAATTCTGCGCGGTGATGCCCCGAGTTGTACGGACAACTGAATTCGTTAGGGCTTGGATTCAGCTGAATGGCTGTTAGGGACCAAATCGCCGAACTTTTGAGGTCTTGCCGCGATGCCAAGGATCTCTCCCAGGCCAGGAGTGTCCATGCCTCCATCGTGGCATCGAAATACGAGCTCGATCGTTACCTCTCCAATCTCGCATTGCAAATGTATGGGCGATGCGGCAGCCTTGAAGACGCGCTGAAGATTTTCGGCCAGATCAGAAAGCCCAACCTCATCTCCTGGAACACGCTCCTCCAGGCACTCTCGGAGAATGGGGAGGTGGAGAAAGCGAGAGAGATTTTTGATGGAATGCCCGGCTGGGACGTCGTGTCGTGGAACTCGTTGATGGCGGCGTATGCCCGCAACGGGGATTTGGAGGAGGCGAGGAGGATTTACGAATTGGCCGCAGAGAGAGATCTCATATCTTGTAACACGATGATCGATGGGTATGCAGAGATGGATTTTTTGGAGGAGGCAAAGTCAATGTTTGATTCCATGGACGAGAAGAATGTTGTCTCTTACAACACCATGATCCAGGCATATGCCGAAAACGGGCATCTTTTCGAGGCAAAGGTTCTCTTTGAGGAGATGCCGGTTAAGAACGTGGTGAGCTGGACTGCCATGGTGACGGCGTATGCGCGGGTAGGACACGTGGACGAATCACGACGGGTTTTTAACGCGATGCCGGAGAGGAACGTGGTGACATGGAACACGATGCTCCAGGGATATGCTGACTATGGGAATCTTGAGGAGGCAGAGCGAATCTTTCTCGAGATGCCGGAGGAGAGCCTTGTGTCGTGGAACGCAATGGTATCTTTGTACGCAGAGTGTGGGCTTTTGGAGCGGGCAAAAAATCTCTTTGATAGAATGGTTTTCAGAGACGTCATCTCTTTTAACACAATAATCTATGCCTTTGCCCAGGACAGGAATCTTGAAGAATCTAGACGCCTCTTCAACTCCATGCCACAGAGGAACGTCGTGTCGTACAATTGCATGATCGCGTCGTATGGCCTGTACGGGCATCTAGAAGAATCTCGGGTCCTGTTCGACACAATGCCGTACAGGAATCTCGTATCCTGGAACACAATGCTCACCGCATATGCCCACAAGGGGCATCTGGAAGAGGTGCTATTCCTGCTAAGGTATATCCCTCAAAAGGACGTGCTGACATGGACGGCGGTGTGTACGTGCCACATTGTGACTGGTCACCTGGCCGAAGCGCAAAGAATAATTTTCTTCATGCCCGAGAAGAACTCGGCCTCCTGGAACGCTCTAGCGGCGGCTTATGGCGATCGAGGAGATTTGCTCAAGGCCGAGAGGCTCTTGAGCGAGATCCCTGTGAAAGACATGGTTTCCTGGAACACGACAATGGCCACTTACGCCAAGAACAATCGCCCTCTAGAGGTTCTCTCGTTGTTTCATCGCTTGAATCTCCAGGGGACAAGGCCACAGATGATTACCTTTGCGATTGTTCTAACAGCGTGTAGCCGGCTTGGGATGATCGAACAAGGATGGAACCAGTTTTTCTCCACAGCTTGCGACTATGGAAGCCTGCCAACGTCGCGGCACTACTCGTGCTTGATCGATGCTTTTGGACGAGTCGGGAGGCTTTCCGAGGCGGAGCAGCTGCTGCAAAGCATGCCAGTTCCGGCGGATGTGGTGGTGTGGAAAACACTGCTGGGTGCCTGCCGGATCCACAACAATGCCGAGTGTGGAGCTCGAGCTATGGAGAACATTGCCAAGCTCGATCCGCACAACGCCGCTTCGTTTGTTCTCATGGCCAACACCTTGCAACCTGGTTGATTACATCCAAGGTACTTCCAACTTGGAAATCACACATGCAAGAGATGGTGGTGGATGTCGCTGTGTTTGCATCAGATGCTCGTGAATCGTCTCCGCGGACGTTGTTCAACCCGTATGAGCCGGTTGCGCTAAACGAAAGCACACTGATCATGAATTCGAAGACGGATGATGTGAAGCACGTAGAATTGTGATTGGTCTCAAATCAAGGAAAAAGAGCCCGATTTATTCTTGTGTTTTGTAAATTTTAAAGACAGGTTCTTGCAACAACCGCTTTTTGGGGTCGATTGGCCGTTGGATGGGAGTGTCGGGTGTTTTAGCCGGCAAATTAGCTCGTAAAGAAGAAAAGGCAACCGTCAAGCCCGAGCTCTAGGATTGTCATTCTAGCGTGATTAGCAATCTCTTTGAGTAGTAGTACATTTGAAGAACAAAGAGAGACATGATCTTGGAACAAAGTGGACTCTCTACGCACATCCGCTCTGCGACAAGTTCCCAGCGAGGCCTTGCTGACCGTGAAAACGAGCAGCGATCGTCCGCTGCCAAATCCCTTGCCAGCTCGGGCAAGTATAAGTATGGATTGCCAGTGCGAAAGGCACACGAATCGACAATTGCAGGGATCACGAAGACGCGCGAGTTGCGCAGATTCGAAGGGATCTGGGCTACCGCTGCCATGAATCGAGACCACCAGAAGAACGAGAAAGCATTTCGTTCCATTATCATTCATAGCAACTTTGAATTTAAAAATGGTATATTCGGTAAGTGTTAATCTTTGCGCGCTCTGGGTTTAGGGCTTTTCAAATGTAGGGCTTGTCTAGGGTTCTTGCGTGGGTAGCGATGGCGCTGTGCTCGCGGCCGAGGAGCCCCGCATTCTTGTGGGCGGCGTCGGCAAGTAAGTACCGATCGATCTGGGTGCGCTGGCGGAGGGGCGAGCTCCCCGCCGGCGTCTGGAACCCCTTCGTCTTCGAGGACATGAAGAGGCCGCGCGAGCTGTCCAAGGAGTTCCTCGACTTCCTCGTCGATGGCACCTGCCGGACGCCCATCAACTTCGGCATCCACGTCGGGACGCCGCTGGGCGCGCTGCCCACGGACTACCTGGTCTGGCTCTCCAACGATTTCCGCTCCGACACGGTGGACTGGCGATGGTGGCGCGACGTCGCGCGCCAGGCGCTCAAGGAGCGCGCCAGCGTCCACATCGGCAAGCGCCAGGAGTTCATCGCGGCGCTCGCGCGCGCGGGCAACGTCGACTACACGCTCGAGCTCCTGCGATCCGAGGCCAACCAGGTGGATTCCCCGCCGGGCTACGCCGCGCTGCTGCGCCACTGCGCCCAGCACCGCGCGCTGGAGCAGGGCATCAAGGTCCACAACCAGCTCGTCGCGGAGGGATTCGCGAGGAACCCGTTCCTGGCCGAGCTCCTGATCGAGATGTACAGCCAGTGCGGCGCCGTGGATCTAGCGCTCCAGGTGTTCGAGAGCCTGGAGAGGAAGAAGCGCGGCGTGAGCGCCTGGGCGGCCATGATCCGGTGCTACGTCGAGAATGGTGATCACAAGCGCGCGCTCGAGGCGTACAAGAACATGGATCTGGAGGCCGACTCGGAGCTCCTGGTTGTGATGTTTGATTGCTGTGCGAGGGCGCGGGCGCTGGCCGAGGGGCGTGTCATCCACGCGTGCTTGGTCTCGAGCGAGGTCCGCGCGGATCTAAAGCTCCGGACGGCGATCTTTGCGTTCTACGCCCAGTGTGGGGATTTGGAGATGGCAAGAAAGCTGTTTGTGAATCTAGAGAAGAAGAGTGCCGAGGCCTGGAACGTGATGATCAAGAGCTATGTAGACGCTGGAAGAAGGGATATGGCGATGGGGGTGTACGAGAAGATGGAGAAATCGAGGAGGAGCCGGGAGACGATTTTGATCGCTCTAGATGCCTGCTGTTCGCTGGAGGAGATTGGAGGGGTTGAGGAGGATGCCTCTGCGAGCAAGGTGATCAAGAAGTCGGATCATGCCGGTGTCAAGGCGGCCATCGCAGCTGCCAGGAAGCGATTGCAGCAGTCTAGTAGAGATGATCAAGCGGGCTCGCCTCCTTGCAATGTGTGCTGAGAGCTTTTGGACACGATGACATGATCTTACAACTCCTTTACCCCGGCTTCGCTTTGGACGAGCAGAGCACGCCCAGAGCGGTGAGGATCCGACAATGCGATTGGGCTGGAAAAGAGATGCTCTTACTTAGCTTTCATTAAAGGTGACAACACATTTGATTCGGCAAAAAGCTATTTTCCTTTTATTTGGATTAAAGTAATTAGTAATTAGTAATTTTTTACTTTAGTGATTCATTCTTTCCTATTTACTGATAATGTTATCTCTCTCTCTCTCTCTCTCTCTCTCTCTTTCTTTCTGTGAATAAAAGATAAAAGAAATCAAATATACTTAAGAATTTTAAATGATTTTTTCAAAGTTTTTTAAAGAAGAAATCAAAGTTGAGTAAATTTAACTTCTATTAAGGTATTTTTAAATATTATTATATCAATAAGTATTACATAAATATGAGATAAAGTATTATTGTCATGAATATGACTATAGGTATCAAAAGTTATTTGTTAGCAAGTCCTTTTGGATATTCTTTTTTTATTGCTTGGTATTGTTGAATCCTTTATCAATCTCCATCTAAGTTAGTTGAGAAATTAATAATCATATGCGCACTTAGACTAAAAGAGCACTAAGAAAGGAAATTTTAAGTTGTCATTTAGTCAAACATATTTGACGTGGTGATGAAAAATTTATATTGTTGATTTGCATTTGCTAATGTTAAAAACTCTCATAATATTGAGCTTAGTCTTTCAATATTTGCTAAATGATAGCTTCTAGCTAAAACACTCCCACCATCATGCCCTATATGCTAGTTTCATTTGGTTCTATTAACTATTTATGAAAAATGTTTAGATTTGCTAATTTAGAACATCTATAAAATGTAGAGATTATTTTGAACACAATAGTGTTGATCTTATATCCAAATTAATACTTTAACATTATTCCATATTTAGTAAGTTTCAAATTTGTCCCAGAGATTTAACTCTTGATACTAAGGGTGAAAGCTCAAAGTATTCATTCCTTGTTCCAAATATATAATAAGGATAGTGGGTATGTTGAGCATAATTGATTAATTTAATGCATAGTTTAGCTCCTACTTGCGTATTTGTCTTTGTTCTATGTCTAGCTTAGGTCTAAGCCCAAGTTTCATGTCATGTTAACTAATAAATACCTATATCCTTATGTTAAACCAACGGTATGTTGAAACAATACCAAACTCCATTTGGCTTTGTTTTGTATATTGGTCTTTGCATTGAGATGTTGGACTGTTCCAATATTGTTCTTTATTGTCCCTTCACTCCTTGGGCTAAATGATTATAAGTTACTTTGTGCTCTAGATGAGTCATTCTATCACTCTTTGGCTTAATGCAAGTTTAATTTAATTCTTTCATTTAGTGGCTTATGGCTCTTTAAAACTTGGGTTCCACTTTACTATCCTTGGACATGTGGTATGTAACATGTGGCACATAAAGGGTTTAAATTCCACTTTGTATATAATACATAAATTACCAAATTTGAAAAAGATTTATGACCCTAGGATAGAAGGAATCATAAAGATGGTTATATTTAAGTGATACAAGTTTTAAATAAATAATAAGACTTGATAAATTTCATGACATGATCTCCAAAATGCACAATTACAAACTATCTCTAGAATTTACTACCAAATAAAAATAAAAACCAAAAAGGAGTCCAAATTTATTTAAAAGTTCATGACAATAAATAAATCAACATAGCAATATTAAAACCTTGAATATAAAGTTTTAGTGCCTGGATAATAAAGAAGATTAAAGCTTCTCCTAATAAGTATAAATTTAGGGAGAAGGTACAAATGTGCCATATTAATGAATAAATATTTCATACAATAAGCACTACAAAATTTTCCAATAAATTTGTATTTTATTACTTCTAAAATTTTAACAATCTTTTATTTTCTGTTTTCTGTTTTTTTTATAAATTTTTGAGTCCACTTTTTTTAACCAGAACACTTTGATTTGTAAAACATGTAATATATATTAAATAATTTTAATAATTAAGCCATATAATTATTTTTAAATACTATATGAAACTCATTCAGAGTTTAATGAATAATATTCCAAAATTTATTTTATATTTAGATATTGTGGTTAATACACAAAATATTTTTCCAAATATATTATTGGACAGTAAACCATTATTTTTCTAAAAACATTTTCTTTTTAATGCTTTTGATAAAAAATTTTATGCATCTAGAGTTGTACTTCCTTGTCTTTATTTTTTCTCATGTGTTTTTTTTAAAAATAATAATTAATTCTTTAGCTTTTAAAACTTTTAATAATCAATTGCATTTTAAAACCATAGTTTTTTTATTCGCATTTCATCCTTCACTAATGCAAATATTAAATTTTCAATATTAAGTTTCTTATAACAAACAACAACAACATTATAATATATTTTACAATAAATAAACATCATACCATATTTTGATAATGTAATATAATAAATTGTTTTGGATACATTTTCACAATTATTCTTTGCAAAGGTTGTGAAGGTCAGGCGGCATGATCAACATTTCTATCTCTCCAACTGCATCGCAAAAACATATATTATAAAACCCTTAATATTGTATTAGCATGAAATATGCAAATTAAATTTATACTAAAACCAAAATTTGAAACTAAAATTTGAACCATATTAAAAAATTTAATCCACATAGATTTATTTTTAAAATAAAAACTCCATTCATTTTGTAAATATTATTTTATTTTCTAAAAGACATAACGTTTTTAGTATCTTATAGTGGATAACAAATTTTATTTCACTTGTTATCATACACCACTATTAAATTTTAATGTGCTTTATAAAAAGTACATAATAAATAATTATAATCCATCTTTAGTTTTTAGTTTTAATATAAATGTGAGAGCCAAGTGTACGGTTACGATGCCGTATACTAATATTAGCGTAGTGGGATTTTGGTAGCTGTCGGATTGGTTTCAATCTGAACCAGTCGCTCCTGTATATAAACTAGGGTTTTTGGGCTAATGGAGATGCACATTTTTGTATTCCCTTTCCATATTCCAAGCACTCACATAAACTAAAAATTTATTTTATAAATATCAGTGTGAGTAATAGTGTAATTCATCAAAATTTTCACAATCAAGTGTCAAGATGCAAAAGACAATTAAATAAATCACTAGCCCAGATAAATCCAATCTAAATTTATATTTTTAATGCTAGATTAGTATATTTTTCATAAAAAGTGTTTTATACCTTTTAATTATAAAAGGAAATTAAGTATTAAAAAGATTTAAATTTTAACTATAACATTTACAAAACGTTATGTATATAAAATTTATAACAGTGTATAATGAATTATGATTGACTGTCTTTAAATTTTATATGAATAAAAATAATAATTTTTCACTTTTGTATATTATTTTACTAACAATACAGCCCGTGCTTGGAATGTGGAAGAACTTCATACTAATTGCGCTTCTTCGTGGTCTTCTTGCGAGGAGTATCAGATGTGGGACGGCTTGCTTCCTTCTCGCTCTTGCTAAATCGCCTGCCATAGGCGAACTCGTCCAGCCTCTGGCCCTGCCTCTTGTACCGCCCCCCAGACTCTACGAACGCCGGGCATGGCCGGAATGCCTTGATTGGCCACCACCCAAATCCCGGCACCGCTGCAATGCCGCCCTGGATTCGCCCCAGCCCATTGCAGCCCCACATCACCTCCGATCGCCCGCAAGTCTTACACCCGGATCCAGTATAATCTTCCTCTTTCTCTACGTTTTCTACAACTTCTTCCTCCTCAATAGCTAAGGTACCAGGTTTCTGAGGAGAATCCGGCGCTGCCGATGCCCAGATCTTCCTCCTCCCGCGACCATTCGCCAGAGATTGCGAGGAATGCCATGGAATTGCGTGGAGCGCGGCTATGGCCACCATATCCCCTGTGCCTGCTCAACATACTTGCATCCGAACATTCGAACGCAACCGGATTCGAACGGGTATCGAACGTTTAATACCCGTTTAGCTTTTTTTCGAACGGGTATAATGGTTTTCAGTTTTTTTCGAACCCTAATTTTACAGTTTTTTTCGAACCCTGATTTTACATGAACCCTAATCCTAAGTAAAAGAAAGCATATTCTTTAGGGTTTTTTAAAATATTCTTGGTGTTTAAACGCCGTTTTAAACGCCGTATTATACGCGCGTTTTAAACGGCGTTTTTTATTAATCGTACCCGTTCGAATGCAAGTATGCCCTAAAAAGCAGAGCAAGAATATCCGTTAATTTAAAAAACTTTACAACGGAGGTAAAGGAAGTAAAAGAGGCAAAATTGTGAGCCGGTGCTGTCATATATACAAAAAGAGGAGCACTCGTCGTAGTAGAATCGTTCCCTCGCACCAAAGGAGCGTTGCGAAGAAGAGGAGGAAGATAAATGATGAGAATAAAGGAAAAAACGTAACTTCAGCATTTGAGATCCAGGCAGCTGACGAGCCTCTGGTGATGATGAATGTCAGAGATGACGCTGCGAACCTCGATCTCGGACGTTGACAATCCGTGGCCGCCGTTACGCATCTTTGCTGCGGGATGATGATGATGGTGGCGATGCTGCTGCTGCTGAGGATCCTCCATGCTTTTCAATCGCCTCCCAAAATCGGATGGAGTCTGGAGGAAGAAAGCGGTGGCGTCGGCCTCGGAGGCCGGCTGGAATCCAAACTGGGAGGAAGGGGAGAACATCGGAGAGAGTACTTGCCGAGGTGGAGTAGACGCGTATCTAATGAAAGAGCACCATTAGCTACAACAAAAAAACGAATGCAAAGCTCACCTTGTCGTCTGGTAGCCATCTCGAGTCTGATGAGATTGGAAAAATCGAGATTTAGCTACACAATTCAGATAGAAACAAAAGGGCTGCGGTACCTGGAAGTCTGAGTTGGTGTCCGGTATGTCCATCACAAACGGATGCTCCATGAGCTCTGTCGCTGTTGGTCTGTCCGCCGGGTTCCTTTGCAAACACAACCTCAGAAAGTGTTGGCACTCTTCGGACAGATGCGGAGGAATTGGAGGAGTTTCTTTGCTGTTGCCAATCTTGAACATAACAGCGACCTGAGCATTCAAACCTTAGAAACTTAGTGACTGAAACTTCGTTATGTCACTCACCCCTTCAAATTCGCTCCACGGAGGCTTTCCAGTTGCCATTTCGATCACGGTGCAACCGAGGCTCCAAATGTCCACAGAGAGATCATAACCATGAGTTGATTTTAGAATCTGCCAATCCAGACAAAACCCGCTTTTATGGACAGGCACTTTACGTGACATCCACAAACCTCTGGAGCCATCCAGTACGGGCTTCCTTTGCAAGAAAGTGGGAAGGACTGAGCAGTTATCTGAAAGCAGTCCCGGGGTGAGTGCCGGAAAAAGATCAGACTAGACACAAAACGTACGTGCTTCGCCATGCCAAAGTCCCCAAGCTTCACCACGCCATTGGTATCGACAAGGATGTTTGCGCCCTTGATGTCTCTATAAAAGAATAACGCTGGCACGACATAGAAAACGCCACTCGAAAAAGTACCTGTGAACAGTCTCCACGCTGTGCAAAAAGGATAAACCCGAAAGTATTTGTCTCGTGTAGCGCCTGATAACCGACTCCTTGAATGGTCCATAGTCTTGAAGCAGCTTATGAATGGAGCCACCCGACACGTACTCGAGATAGATGTAAAGGTTGTCCTCCACCTACAAAGAACACCAAGCAAAACGTAATGAGCCGCACAACAATGAGGATCACGCTAGTGCTTACTGCTTCTGATCCATAGTACTGTACAATGTTCTGGTGCCTTAAGCGACTGAGGAGAGTAATTTCCTGAAGCATGGCGGACACGCAACGCAAGTTAAAAGTGATCGACACCAATAAACGGGGAAAAAAAAAATTTAAAATGGAACAACGAGAACTTTGCAGATAGAATAGCAAGTACCTGTCCGAGCTGTTTAGCACTCTCTTTAGACTGATCATTGTCACCAATAATGCGAACCTCCTTCATCGCACACATCCGGCCGATGTTGTTGCTGCACATGGCAAGAGAATCGTGTTAGATCTGTCGCTGGAGCAAACGAGGAGAATAAAAAAGCGAGGGGGGCCGGAGTGGTGTGCGGTACCTGTCAAACCCAACATACACATATCCAAAAGTTCCATTACCGATGAGCTTCCCTTTCTGCCAGCAGGTTGTCGTCGCCCCCCTGTTAGACGGTGAAAGCGTCGGCGACAATGGAAATCCACTTCCGCAAGGTGGTGGTGGTGGTGCTGGCAACGGGTGCGGCGTGTGGCGGGGAGAAAGCTGACCACCACTACCACCACCACCAAAACCACTTCCACCACTTCCACTTTGGGTGCGTGGATTCCTCGACCCGGCTGTAGCAGTGAAGGCCGGCGGGCTGTTCCCAGGAGCAACAGCGGCAGCGCTGTTACTATACGGATAGAAGGCGTCACCGGCGTCGAGAATCGCTCTCGGACTGCGGCACGGGCTCAAGCACGGGGAGTGCGCGTTGTTTGACGTAGCTTTCACTGGCACCGGATTGGAAGGCGTCGATCCGTTTCCCGAGTACCTACATTCCTTCCAAGGAGAGGCCTTTGATCTGAAAGAAGACAACCAAAACCACGAGATCATTCACGGAGAAAGAGAGAACAAGTGAAACTTACTGGGTGGTGTCACACGTATCGCTGTTGCTTGAGCTGATGCTGGAAGAGGCCGAGGTCGCGGCCACTGCCTCGGCGAAAATCCCCGCTCTGGGCTTTTGCTCCTGGGGAGGAGGAAGCGGCAGGGACTGGTTCCTTCGCACCTCCGCGCCTTGAGGAGAGAAGGGCGAGCACGGCAGAGGCCATGGCTGCCTTGCCGAGTCCGAGGGCGTGCACGGCGACACCGGCCTGGAGCTGCTGGAATTGTCCGAGCTGGAGCGGTAGCCCGGCGAGAAGCTGTTCTTCCTCTCGTCGTCCGTCCAGGAGGAGAGCCTCGTCTTCCAGCTCCCAATCTGCAAGCGCATGCCATCTTTGCTCTTGTGCTGCTGCTGCTTCTTGGCCGCCGCCTCCTTGGGCTCCTTGGAGGACTTGCCGCCCCACCAGGAAGGCATCACGCCTCCCTCTCAGGCGCAGCTGCGATCACGAGAGGAAAAATTTAGCTCCGAGAACGAAGAACCCTGCCAAAAATCTCACATCCACGAAGCCATGACGCGTTCACATCGAATTCACGAATGAGACAAGGGGAAAAACACGCAGAAAATGCAGACCGGCCGCCCGCGCCTAAACGATGAGACCGGCAAGAGGAATCAAGCTACAGCGCAGGACAAGCCAAGAACCGGCAGAGATCGATGGAATGATTCATCACAGCAAGAAAAAAAGGGGGAAAGCTACTCACAACATGCGCATCGAATCACGACATCGCTGGAGCTCGCGCTCGATCGGAGAGAGAAGGGAGAGAAGAGAACAGAGAGACAAGCGCCTTGATCTGCGCCTCCTGGCGCCCTAAATTTCCCTGTGACGAGCCCTAAAATCGCGAAGCTCCTCCATCTCGTTTCCTCTTTTCTTCTCCAACACGTCTTTCTCCCGCATTCCCGCTCCCCTCCACCCCCGCCGCCGCCGGAATATACCGTGCCGCGCCGCCGCGGCGAGAATATCCCCGCACGTGTCACGACCCCAGCGAATATTCGCGCTACGGACACGTGTTGGGCGTTGACTTTGCGTGGCCCCGTCCGGGTGACGTGGTCGCCAAGGTCCACGTTTGTTAAGGAATTTATGATGACTCGACAGTCTTTCTTTTCTACATTCTCAATTTTTATCTTTGCTCGGTTTTATCGGACGGACGAGAGCATATATAACGCCTCGATCCGATAATCAAAGGCATTGGATCCAGCGGCTAGATTGCAAATCTGCGCCCACATTCAATGCCCCACACGGCTGCACGCACACGCTCAATCAATTTTGTGGAAAAAGGAAAAAAAGAAAAAACTTTAGTACTTTTTAAAGGCATTTTCTAGATCTCCGATCGACCAGCAATCTACGCTTTGTAGCCAGCTTTTTTTTGTTGTTGGGCTTGGCCACAAATCAATCAGCAAAGGACTGCCGTTTGTCCCTGGAAACCGTTCGTAGAGGCTCTCTGTCTGCTGCTCCCAGCCAAGTCCAATTCATTGGCGAAATCGACTGATCGAGCTATCGCGCATGGTGGAGATGGATGCCCGTGTTCAGATCTAAATGCGAAGCGCGTCTCTCGCTGCGCTGCGGAGGAGTTACTTGCGTGTGTTTACTATTATTGATGGCCGAGATGGTGATCCGTGACAAACCTGATCTGGCATTTTTTATGTGCGTTTTTATTTAGGGGGTCCTTCTGTCCCAAAATTTTGGCAAGCACCACTTTGTACTCCCGCAGTAAATATAGCTTAGCTCACCCCGCTGTAAGGAAAAGTATATGTACTCAAAAGAAAACTTATCAAGAAATTGATGTTTTATTTATTACTTCTAGTAATCTTGTCGAAGCCCTTTCGGAAAATGCCAAGCACGAGAAGGAAAAACTTATCATTCGCCTTTGCCGCCAAACCTTGCCGTTCAAACTGGATGAACTTCTAAAGGAGTTTCGAAGAATAGTATCCAGATATTCAGCTGCTTGAGCACACAAACGACTCGACCGTGCGCTCACCCACAATGTTTCGTACGCTCTGTGCCAGAAGCGCAAACTCCTGATTCTGGCGCCTGACGTTTGGCTGCTTTATCCGGGTACTAGGCTATTGAAAAACGAGAGACAAACATCTTAGAGCATCCCAAACAAAGAGCGTGCAAAGACATACCAACCTCTTCAGTGCCTCGTCACTTCGAGACCTGTGTGGCTCGTTTCGCTAGCAAGTAAAAGCTTCTCCTTCTCGTCATTTGACATCTTCCGAAAGGATCCTTTGCTTTCACCGCCAAAACTGCTGTTTCGAGTTGAACAAAGTTGTAGAGGAGCTTCGTTGAAGAATCATATGGAGCTGCATCACAGCACAAGGCAGTCGACTGTGTGTCATGCGCCAAATACCAGCTGGGGGCTTCATTTACC